GTTTAAGAAAAGCATAGATGGAGGTAGTGGCAAAATTATCACAGAGCAAGTCATTTGATGGATCTGAATGAAAAGACTTTGTGCAGATATTACTCGGTACTTTCGAGCATAGAAAAAAGTAGCAACTTCTGCAGAGCTAGCATAGGGTGTTATATTGTTAACTCTGCACAAGTCACTATGGTGATATATTCCCTCCTATCTTCATAAGACCGACTTAGTGCCTGATACAGTACTTCCAGGACAGGATACCTTGCCCAAATGACCCGAAGCACACTGTTGATCGCAAATCTCTCGAACAACATCTGCTGAGGTTACAAGCTTGCTTACGAGTTTGTTTTAGCTTTTAATTTTTACCTTTTCTACATAGAATGATTCCGATCTTCTTGTGTATTTGATATATGTTTGAGGGAGACGATATGTTTTCAGATGCAACTCTCGTGTGGCTGAGGAAGAATGGTTAATCAAAGACGTGAATGCAGTAGAAGGAGAAACAAAATTCACAGATAAAATTGATAGAAGAGCTTCAGAGGTCAGGAACACGCGCAACTTGCAGAGGCTTCATTTCTTGCAAAAACTTGAAATTTGACTTTGATGTTTTGTTTCCTTCTTAGGAAGACGTATGTCGCGTTGTTGAGAAATTGAAAAAATGTTACGAGTCTGTGTATGCTGAAGTTTCTACAGCTCAGCTTCATACAGACGAGATCGAAGACCATCTGAAGCGAAATCCAGAACTGTCTGATAGCAAGCGCAAACATCTTATCCAGCAAAGTTCCATCATAGGTATGTATTTCCAATTCCTAACAGCCTTCTGCGATGAATGCATTTTATCTAGGCCATTTGGATTCTGTTGATCTTCTACGCAATGATCCGTCCAACTGCATTTTTGAGCTTGGTGCGGGAAAGGTACACCTTGCGTTTTTATTTCCATTATCCTTGTCTATCACTCTTACATCATATTTAAGAACTACTTAGGCTCAACTTGCGTACTGGATGACGAAGAAGGCACCTAATGCCAAATTCTTATTGATCGATCGAAGTGGTTCGAGAAACAAGTACGATAACAAAGCTCTTCAAGTGGGTTCTATTCTTGTGCTGTTTAGAAGCATCTTTTTACTTCCACTTTTCATTTCTTTTCTATTATCTGAATTCAAGGCTTACATGCACTGATTTGTTTGATTTCATCAGGCATTTCTTCTCGGTTATTCGTACTACATCGAGAATCATTTGTGTATTTTCTTAATGTATTAAAGGTTTTATTGAATCTACAAGTTTATTCGTTCATAGGAAAATCCATCACTGGACATAAAACGACTGCGCTGTTCCATAGAACATCTTGATCTGTCCAAAGTGGATGCACTGAAGGTACTATCTCGAGCTCTTGATCCTCACGTTTTGAGTGGTCAAGCACATATTGTTTCCGCTGATGCATAGAAAGTTTGGAATGAGCTGTTGGTTTATTTTAGGATGTATCGAGCCTTTGCGCGGTTTGCAAACACTTTTGTGGGAGTGCAACAGATGCAGGAATTCGCTGCTTGTCGAATGGAGTGTCCAGAGGTCTTTCCTTGAGCGGATTTGTTCTTGTACCTTGTTGTCATCACAAATCTCGTTATAGTGAGGTAAGTGCACAATTTTTGTTTTTACAATCCTCCTATATCGGACATTTTAGTACTGTGGACATGATTTTCTTGCGGAGTGGAATATGGATAGTGAAGGCGACTTTGCTGCTTTGCGGCTTATCGCGGCATGGGCTGTAAGTGGGATCACGTTAAGGAGAATAAATGATTCACCCGATTTGGATGTGGAAAAAGTAACCATTGAAAACATGTTTGAATCCGCTTCAAACGGACAAAACAGCATAGCTTCTTGGTAAGTTTTCTTTTCGAACTTCACTCGTATTTTAATACCTCTTCAATTAGGTCTCCACATTACAAAGAAGAGCTCGGCCGGAGGGCCAAAATTATTCTTGAGATGGGTCGAGCACGGTACCTAAGCAGCCTTGGTTTCAATACTCGTGTCATCAAATATGTGCCGGAGAGCGTTTCTCCAGAAAATCTGCTAATTTTGGGGACCCGGAAGGCTACATGATAGTTTTGTCTGTTTTTGAAACTGTTAACTGTTATGGTGCATGATGTCTATGATTTGTTGAGTTGAAATATTTTTTGTTATGATAAGCGATGCGCTTGTGATTTTTTTTCTGTGAATGAAGCTTGTTCTGTATCTGTTGCACTGTAAGAGCATGTCATATCTGTAAGTATCTCATTTTTTGTCGTATTTTTTTTTGGTTTTAGCTTTTGAGAGGAGCGTAGGGCTACCGGCGAAAGATGTTTTTGCTGAATCTGATCCACAGCTTGTAACTCTTTCGCCTAACTCCATAGCTGCAGCCGGGTGGCTGGCATTAGCTCGTACATTGCCGTTATCTTCGCTTAATTGCTACATATTGACAGTCGGAGATCGAAAAATTCAGTAAAATTAGAGTTAGAAAAAGAGAAAGTATCTTGAATATTATCAACCGATTCATTTCAAGTTCAAATGTCACTGTTCTCGCGGTCCTCTCGCCTAATCTACAGTGCAGTCCGCAATGCATCAAATGCGGCAAGGAGCAAAGTGTTTCTCGATGTGAATATTGGTGACAAACCAGCTGGAAAAATCACCATAGAGGTTGGTTATGCAGAAGTTTTTTTCCTTACTAAAATTTCATTTTTACAACTACCACATTATTTATTCGGAATATTCTTATCTGGTTTAACTGAATTTTTTTCTATTCACTATTTCAGCTATTCAGTGATGTCGTACCAAAGACCGCAGAGAACTTTCGAGCACTTTGCACTGGAGAAAAGGGAAAGGGAAAGAGCGGGAAGCCTCTTCATTACAAGGGTTCCACTTTCCATCGCGTTATACCCCAATTCATGATTCAGGTATTTGTTTAGTTCTTCAAACATTCTGTATAGGCTGCCGCATGATGAAGGCGCAATATCTTTTGGCGCGAACGCGGCTTTATTAGCCGCAGAGCGCATGACACGCAAGATTTACCACGGTGAAGATACGCGCAACTAATACCATTTCTGTGCCTTCATCATGCAGTAGCCTTTATAGACAGGAATTGCACCATTGTTTATATATTGACTGCTTCTTTTGGCAATTTTTCTTCTGCTTTTTTTTCAACTAAATCATCTCATCCATTTAGGGTGGCGACTTCACTCTCGGTGATGGACGAGGTGGCGAGTCCATTTATGGCCACAAATTTGAGGTCAGACTGCTAGCATAAGTCATGCATAAAATCTTGAAAGCACCTAGTTTCAGGATGAGAACTTCAAACTGAAGCATAATGGTCTTGGATGCCTCTCTATGGCTAATGCAGGCCCTGATACCAACGGAAGCCAGTTCTTTATCTGCACTGCTGATACACCTTGGTAAGAAAGAAGGGAAGGATTTTTTTAGAAATATTTTTAAAAA